TTTTTTCAATTTTTCAATAGAAAATTAAATCATATTCAAAAATATCTTGAACCAATTGTAAATAATGATCAATTAATTGAAATTTTTCAATCAATTTACGATAAAAGTTTATCGAAAATAAATTCAAATGAAATAAATAATAATATATTTACATCAAAATTTGCTCGTCGTTTACTTGTTCTTGTATTTGTTCAATTATGTCATGAAAAACTTAATCAAATTGAACGTTTAAATAAATTAATTCCTTTAGTATATCGTTCAAATCAAGTAAAGAATTTTTTCATTCATTAAATTATTACAATCATTCTAACAGAGATAGTTTGCTTCCTTATAGAAAGCTTAAAAGAATTTTGCTTTCTATATGATCTGGTAGCAAAAACAATGCTTTACATTTCTCTAACATTTGATCATTCTTCAACTAACTAGTATCATCATACTCAAATTTCGATAGAAATAGTCTTCTATGATATCGGACAATAGTATTAGATTACATTTTATCTTCGGTTTGTATCTCGTCTCCTCCAATGTCTAGTCGTCTATACATATTATGGTGTAGAAAAAAAATGGTGTTGGTAGAACAAAAAAAGAGATATAGAAACAGTTTCATCAATACTTTATCTTTGCACATTCAATTGTGTTCGTTGAATCCATTTATCGAACCTTCTTTTTTATATGTTTCTTTATTCAGTGTTCAGAAACTTGTTTACAACACGATACAACTATTTGAAGTTCTATTGATTGCTTAGATTAAGTCGAATGATGTGGACTCGCAGCTTCCTACTTACTTGATGTTGTTTACATAAATACGATTAAAACTATTCCATTCAGCTAAAGATATCGGTGTTAATGTTAATTTGACAATTTTCAATGACGAATTTTGTTTATTAATAAACATAATACTTTTTTTCTCAATTATGCTAAAACCTTTTATAAAACGTCGAGTGTTGAAAAAGTGAGCAACAAGAAATAACTGTACGTTGACTTTTTTCTAGAATAATCAATTAATAGCTAGAACCTTGATCCTTCACTTGTTCATATACATAAAGGGTGTCAGAAATTGTAGGAAAAGAACACGAGTCCGAATCTGAACCTGCAGCTTCCTTCTTAGAGGAGAATAACCAAAAGAAGTTTAAGAAGAGGATATACAGCGAAAACAATATAATCTAATGTTATCATTCCACTTCAGAGGCCGAATTAAATCGAGTTTTATTGATTCAAGTTTGGTTCGATTCGTCTTTTGTTTTCTTAAAATCAATCATTTTTCTTATATGCTTGTCTATGTTTATTTGCTTTTCGAAAATTAGTTCATGTTCGGTCTTTGTTATATATCATAAGAAACTGTTCTTATCGAAATTTTCGTATTATGATACTAGTTGAAGAATGATCAAATATTAGAAAAATGTAAACCATATAGAAAGAAAATTTCTTTAAACTTTTTATAAACTATTAAAATACGTTCACTATTACTTTTCTTATTCTCTAACTATTTATTCAACATATTTAGATTCGACTTAATTCTCTTCGATTAGAAAAAATTCAAGAGAAAGTTTTACCTTATTTACAAGATTTATCACAAATTTATCAAGTACTTCTATGGCTTTCATCATGTGGAATTGAAACATCAACAATTACAGTTAATGATCGGTAAGAATTATTAAATTGAATAAAGAAAGAACTTTTTATTCTATTTATTTAAGTGATCTCTTTATTGAAAATCTTGTTTATCACCAACCATATAAAACTCGGATAGGTAAGAAAATAAATTGAACCATGTTTGTTTTTTTTTGTTTTCAACCATATAAATTTTCTTAATTAAATAGGAAATCAATCATTACTTGAACAAATTCTAGCAGATAATATTCAACAAGAACAAATTACACCAGATGCAGATAATTGGTTTGAAATAATTAATAAATCCGTTGATAATCTATTTTCTCTTTTGTATGATTTAAATTTAAAAATTATGAAATTTTGAAATTTCTTTTTTTTTTTTTTCTTAATTTAGATGGCCAAGTAATAATTTTTTAATAAAGTACTTACCGAGTCGACATCAATGGACAATATTAGATCAATATTGTGGAAAACTTAATTGGTTTAAAGAATTAAATTCTGCAAGGTTAAATTTTGATTTGATTTTATTATTTTAAAATTTTTCTTCTTATTTGTTTAGACACTTTTTTCATGCATTAACATTTTATCGATCAGGTACAAATATTGAAACAGCTACAAGATATTTAGCTGTCGCATTAAAAGAACTTCATACTGATCCATTATTGATTGAAATGTTTGAAAAACAACCAATACCAGAACTTTTTTATATTGAATGGGTATGTTTAATAGAGATCTTTATTTTTTTCTAAGATGAAAAAGATTTCGTAGAAANTTTTAATGCGACAGCTAAATATCTTGTGGCTGTTTCAATATTTGTACCTGATCGATAAAATGTTAATGAATGAAAAAAGTGTCTAAACAAATAAGAAGAAGAAATTAAGTTTTGAGAAAAAAGTTTTCAATTATTTTCATTTAACTGATTTGAGTATAATGTACACAATGTTCGGAAAGTCATCTGCCGAAATAAAATGAGTCATCATATATCTCTAAGGTATTTTGACTAAATTACTTAATTATTTTTCTTTAGGATAGAGAAAGACTTGAAGGTTTTATTCATAAATCACTAGTTGATTTATACACTTGAAATTTTATCATGGAATATATTCAACTGTCGGATCGCTGTTGGACTTTATATTATGATAACGAGTAGGACTAAATGAGACAATGAACAGTTTGAAACTGATAATTGATTGTATACTTGACAGAAGAGTGGTTTCTAATTCGCTTTTACACTAATCTCAGTTTCTAGGCATGTAATTCAATTACATACAGCATCGTGATAAGATTTCGCTGGTAAACGATAATTGAATGTCGACATTTAAATTTGAAATTGATCAAAATGTTATGAAAAGATAAAAAGAATATTTATTGCCGAATAGTGAAAACCGCAGCAGATAGAAGCTCGAAGAGAGAGAAGAATTATATGAAAGATGGGAAGCTTTTAAAGTAAAGACTATTTGCTCTTGTGTAAGAGCTTCATGTTCAATTAAAAGAGTTTACTAAACATTCATATTTAATGCTCATTGTTCTTGAATAGATTATTAGTTATTTTGTGAATCTCTCTGATTTATTTCTTCAGAGTGCTAGGGAATTTTTCGATTTTATTTTTCATCGTTGTGACCAATTTTCGTAGACACTTTGAAAGGATTCAGAATTATGATCATTTTAATGAAATTTCTATTGAAAGCAAGACCTTTCTAAAGAACCCTCAAAACCAAGAAGTTTAATTTTAATTTTCTTCCATAGGCCGATTTTATTNCTTCAGAGTGCTAGGGAATTTTTCGATTTTATTTTTCATCGTTGTGACCAATTTTCGTAGACACTTTGAAAGGATTCAGAATTATGATCATTTTAATGAAATTTCTATTGAAAGCAAGACCTTTCTAAAGAAACCTCAAAACCAAGAAGTTTAATTTTAATTTTCGTCTATAGGCTGATTTTATTGTCCCGAAACTTTCAACGAAAACGAGCATGTCTTTATCGAGATAGTCAATTTCTAAGTTGAAACAAGCTATGTATTCTTCCATAGCGAACTGATACTTTATTAAGAAATGAAATGTTTCGAGAAAGACATGTTCGATCTCATTGAAAATTTTAGAACTATATCAATACTAAGTTCCGATTCAAAAGTGAACTGACATGTGGAAATGTTCCCTCGTTAGATCATCTTCATAAAAAAAAGTATAAAAGTGATGCTTTTTTTTCTTGAAACATTTCATAGTATAAATAACGATCTGTAACTTTTAACTGGCTTTGGAAAAACTATTGCATTACAATTTTGTCAATAAATTCCGTTTTTTAACTTTCAGTGTTGAATTAAAATGCAATGTGATATTTTGTTTTGTTTTTAGATTCGAGAATATTTAAAATACTTTGGTCAAAATCAACATGTTGCTTCATTTCTTCATCAATGTTTACAAAGTTCACATTCGAATGATATTCGTGTATGTTTTTATCATCAATTCACATCCCAGTTAATGATTTGCTTACTTTTTTTTGTTTTCTTCCATAGGCTTTAATTATTAAAGAATTATTTAAAACAAGTATTGATTTACAAAATTTTGATGATGCTTTTTGGTGTATTCAAAATACAAATGACTATATAAGGTTATTTTTTTCTCAAAACGTAGTTTTAATTTATTTTTATATAAAATAATTTTAGTCAAAAACAATTTACATTTGAGTATGCATTAGCAATATGTTCTCTATCAAATGATCAATCATTATATCGTCTTCAAACACTTATTCAATATCAACATGATAAATTAGGTTATGTAGATTTAGAATTATTAGCTTATCTTGAACGAACATGTGTTGAAACTCAACCTATTCAAACATCACATGTATATGCACTTTATGAAATATATAAAATGATGAAATTACCATTAAAGAGTATGTATTGATTTTATTTCTCATTAAAAAAGAAAGACAATTCAATGTTTCTTTTTTTGGAAAGAATATCTTTTGATCACCAAAATTTGTTTGCTGAGAGTAGAGTCTTTATCTAAGTATTTTGAAGCCGAGAAACTCGAAACGAAACGATCAACATCGTCCAAAAGAAAAGTTCGGACAGTACTATTATCGTTATTTTTTGTTTAACATTGTTTATCTGTAAGAATAGTAATTGATTGATCTAACGTTTTTTTAGTTTCTGTGTTGTATAAGATCCTTAACAATATCGCTCATTAGAGTATTTTTTTTTTCGAAAAATAAGCGGTTTTTACAATGCCAAAGGTTGTTTATGCCTGAAACCTGCATTAACTTTTGACATTGAGTAAAAATTCATCATAGGATATTTAATACATTTTATCAACTTACTTTAATGTCAACGTACGTTATCGTAACAAAGTCAAATAATTGTTTATCATAGGGTTACTCATATTTGCTACTATTTATAGGATACATTTCACATACATACGAGCTAACAAAGCGAATATAGAGTGAAAACAGATTAAGAATATTAATAATTAATAGTACTCATATCTGATGAGTATTGAATCGCTATATAAAGTTATTATTAAAACTGTTGTATTATAAAGTTTTCTGTTCATCTATAGATGAAAAGTGAGCGAAAACATCTGGAAATAAATAGTGAAAAACTCTATCACGATGAAATAATACTCTTAATGTCAAAACTGTAGTGATTAAAAAGCAAACTAGATCAATCGAGAAGTTGGTTTACTTATAATAAGGTCAGCAAAATGAATAATGAGTCATGATCGATGTGTCAACTTCAACTTCGTTCTCTATTTTTTCTACAAGTTATCCTCTATTGTATGACTTCGTTTTTACTATGAATAATAGTTTTTGGCGACCAAAAATATTCATATTCATATTTTTTTTTTTCTTATTTTGTCTTTCGTTTTATTTTTATTCACAGTGGCTCAAATAATGTATCATTATGGTTGTTCAATAAATGATATAAAAGAACAAAAAAATGTATTTCAATTAGCTTTCAATGCTCTGTCATCAATTGAACAAACAATTGATTCAACAGATCGATTATTTATTTATCCAATTAATTATGAATATAATGTATAAAAAATTTCTTTTAAATTCTTTTAATCTTGATTTATTTTTAAAATAGTCATTATCATCTTTACATCCTGATCATAGTTCAGCTCGACTTATTGGTATTGATGAATGTCGACAAAAATTAGCAATGATATCTGCTATATATACATTGCGAACAAATCGTTCATCATCTACAATTCAAATAACTGATACAATGCATCCAACACAATTAAGTGGTCTTCTAACAAAATTTCATTATGATACTGAAGCTCAACAATTACTTGATGCTTTTCAAATAAATAAATCATCAATGTATTTTGTTCATTAGGAATACAACAACAAAAAAAAGAAAAACAAAAGAGATTGATTCAATTTATTATTGTTGTTATTATTATTTTTTCTTTTTGTCATATTAAATTCTAGAAAAAGATATTTGTAGCCAATTTTTGTCTGGCTTACATTTTGCACACATTTCGTTAAAAAATAAAAAAAGAATTCTCTTGTCAGATGCTTAGAAACATTAACTAAAAAAATCATCAATTTCATTAGTTGCACCTGCTGTTGGTGTGTTTGTTGTTGTTGTTGGTGGTGGTGGCGGCGGTGGTGATGGTTGTGACGGTGGTGGCGGAGGAGGAACGATTGGTTGTTGATTATTTCTCTTTGGACCAAATGGAGGATTATATAAATCTTGATCAGAAGCTTCAGAAGATCTTGATGGTGATTGTTGTTTACGACGGGGTGGACTTTTGACAATAGGTTTTGGAAGTGGCCGAGAAGGAAGAGCAGTATCACCTTTTCGTGAAGAACCTAAGATAGCTTGCGATGCATCATTAAGCCATTTATTAATATCAAAACTATTCGCAACTTCTTCATCATTTTCATCTCTATCATCATCAATTATTAATGCATCATTTTTATTCTTTGGTTTTGGTGATGGTGCTAGAAAAAAAAATTTATCAAGAACATTTATATTCAATAGAAATAATTGAGATTACTTTTTCGTTCAGATGTTGGAACTTTAGGTGGAGAACGTGGTGATGATGTTGGCTGTTCGTGTTGACCATCTGGTTTTTCTGCATTATTATCATTAGGTTTTTTATTATTATTAACATTAACTGTAGGTAAAGATGCTAAATAAAATAATAATTTTTTTTAATGTTACGTAATCAAAAAGAAAAAAGAAAAATCTATTTTGATTTTCATCATGAATATCATTTGCATTATTTCTACGCATTAATACACTGCCAGTTGTTTTTGCTGAAAAATGTATAAACTATTAATATTAAGGGATGAATCTAGATTGCGGATACATTTTTGGACAATTAAGGAAAATGTGCGCATAGCGGAACCAGAAGTGTGTGTAGCTGAAGTGAAGACTTACACATCCATACCCTAATATTCGCTCTTAAATCGAGCTACTTACACTGATTCTCTTACTATATCTATTTTCGTATGTTTCAATAATGCAGTCATTTTCTCTCTCCTTCTACTGTCATTTTTGCATTGTGCCTATTTTTGTCTCTCGCTCCCGATTCTACTTTGCGAAGATTTTTGTTCCTCCAATTAAGAAAAAATGTTCATGATTAAGATCAAGATAAAAGCAAACATACGAAGTTCAGTTGATGGTTTTCGTGGTTGTTGTGGTGTTGGTGGTTTTTCTATGCGAGGCGTTGAACGAGATGAATCTTGTTTTTTTGATCGTTCTGATTTTGTTGATTCATTTTCTGATGAATATTGAATACTATGATCATTTCCATGAACTAAATTTTGATTTTTTGATGTTGGTTCAATTATAGGCTTTGTTGATTCATTATTTAATGAATTTTGATCAGTATTTGTAGTTGCCGATGGTTTAGGTTCTTTAACAGTTGATTTCGATAAACCATTTACTGTTGGTTCCCATGTTGATTTTACTTTACTGTCAGCATTTGCAATACGTTTTTTAAGATTTGAATCTCCATTCCGTATTTTTGTTCGATTTGATAGTGTTTTACGTTGAGATACTGGTTCTGATTCTGTTCCATCAATGATACGTTTTTCAGTTGATACATCATATTCTGGTTTTAAAAGAACTTCAGAATATTTTGGTGATTTTGTAGAAACAGTTTTTGATGGAGGATGCCATATAGGTTTACGTGTTCTACTAGATGAAGATGATTCATTATGAGGATCATATGTACGAATATGTTTTGGTTTATGTGTAACATCAGCTGGATTTCGAGAAGTTTTATGTAGTGATGATTTAGATTTTGATGATGGAATATGAGAATCAATGAATTTCGGTTGTTTAGGTGAACCATTCGATTCTTGATATTCATCTGATGCATAAGATGGAGCAGAATCAGGATGAGTACGATATGTAACAGCAGATGATTGATGGCGTGAACTTGATGATGGACGTTCTAAAAAAAAACTATATACATTTCTCAATGTTCTATCCTATATCATTGTAAACCTTTGCCACGAACCGATCGACGACGTAATTTAATTGGTTTATCACCGTAGTATAATTCTCTTGGTGTCTCGGATAGTTGTGATGTATTTGCATCAGAATAAGAATAACGTCGAACTGATGTACCATTTACAATCCATGGACTTTGATTATTAGGATTTTTTCTTATCTGTTTTACGAAACCTTGATCTCGTGTTGGATATAAATCAATAAACATTGGATCATTATTAGAATAAACATCTGCTGTTGATCTATGACGAGAAGATTGTTGATGTCGTCGTGGAATATGAACTTTGTATGTAACTCGAGCTTTGTGTATTTTTGGTGACTAAATAGAAAAAGGAAAACAAATTGACGGTTAAAAATATTTTATCTGGTTTAAATTACCACTTCTAATTCAGTTGATGATGAACTTTCTTCACTTATTGATCGAGAGCGATATTTTTTATGTGAATGTTGAGATAATGGATAATGATGAATATGATAATGTACTGGTGAACGATCGGTTAATTCTGATTGAGCAAGTGTTTGACATAATTCATCATTAATTTGTTGTAATTTTGATAGATCTTGTAGTTTAGGAATCGAAGATGATCGAGGAGAATATATTGGATGATGATAAATTATTCTAGAAGTTGGTGATAATGAACGATAAGAAGATAAAGAATCCTTATCAAATTCATCATCATTTTGATCCATTTTATATAAATCGAAATTAAATTTTGGACCTGATCCAGTTGATATTGGTTGTCTCAATGAAGGAGATTGACAACGACGAAACAATGGTGATGATGGTCGATTTGAAAATATTGAAGAAGTTATCGATGAGGACATAGGATTATACATTTTAGATTGATGTATAAGATTTGGTGAAGCATTGTAAACAGAATCAAAATTAGACATAGCCTGTGTGTATTCAATTAATCCATCCATTGTTGAGTAGAATAATTTATTTTTTATTGTATATGTTCAAGAATTAAAAAATTTGTTCGTTTTATGCATAATCAGTTGTCATCTGACGCATTGCTATCAAATGTTTCCATAGAAACATAAAACATGTAATGAATGTATTCAATGAATTAGAAAACAAATGAATGACGTTGTTTAAAATTACGATAAAACAATAATAATATTCAAAAATCATAAAATATTTCAATGAAAATGAAAATTTTCTTAGAAATAAACTGTTTAATGCTGTCATCTATTGAAATAATCTTTTTTTTTGTTCTTCTCATTTAAACATAAGTAAACTTATAAGTGCGCTAAAAACAAAACTTCTAAATTCTTTATGAATAAGATGACTGATAATAATTTATCAGGACGAATGGCTAATTTGAATCATAAAAAGCTTTTTCAAGAACCACCAATTCGTTCATTATCTCCTTCAGCGATAGTTAATCAAATTGTTGTTTCATCTCGTCGTACGAGTATGCAATCAACAAGTGGTTCAAATTCTTCGAATTCTCGAACTCGACATACTACTTCAAATGGTCATTCAACAATTCAAATGGAACCTGGTCTTCAAGCATTATTTATTGCTGAAGGTCGAGCTGCCGAAATGATTGCAACAGCACGTGCAAAACGCAATGAATTATTGCGACAATCAAATCGAAAGAGTCAAGCTGAAATCGAAGCATTTCGACAAGAACGTGAAACTCAATATAGAAAAAAATTACATGAAGCAACACAACTTGAACAATTTCAAGCAAATCTTAACATAGAAAGACAACATTTATTAGAACAGATGGAAGAACATGTCAAAAAACAACGAAAATCACTTGTCAATTATATTATTCATTGTGTTATTGATCAAATTCCTGTTGAACCACATCCAAATACAAAACGTATTATTTTCTAGACAATGATAAGAAAAAGAACTATTACTTCCTGAAAGACTCAAAATTAAAGGCTTATATAATCTTCTACGAACAAAAATAAGTTGCTTCTTCTCTTACTCTTATATCATAATAAACACATATGTATGTCACTGTATAAGTAGCAGAGTTAACTTCATTTGTAGGTACATATTATATTTGTGGTATACCAAAAGTAATAAGATTCATATTATATCAAAGTATATAAAGCTTGAGAAAATATTCTCTTCATATATAATTGTAGCAATAGAAGTGCTCAACATATCTGTAGTATATCATCTTTAGCCAAATGATAATATCATGTTAAAAATGTCAATGAAAACTATATATCCCTAGTTTGAGTTGAATAAGAACAAATTTCGTTTCTACATTAAAGTGAATACTCCATTTAACATTCAGTTGAAATTTATTTGTGATGAATAATATTCAGTTCTCGGTAATCAGACTTCATCTTACAATTCAATTTTCAGATGGTTCAAATTGGCTCGTGAAGACAGAAAAGAGATCAAAGATTAAACATTATTTTATCGACTTTTAACCGAGACCGTATCTGAAAATATTGAATAAGTTTGATGTCTAATTGATAAGATCCGAGTGGAAACTGGTATGCGTCGATAATTGATAACCGACAAGATGAACTCATTTCTGTGCTGTCACGAAGATTTGACGAACTCGAGCAAGGAGCATGACGATTATATAATACAGTGACAAGTAACAAATCATGATTTTATCATTAATAACTTGGTCGAGCATCGCCAAATGCTGTTTTTTGACACGAATTGGTGAAACTCTGTCTACTGTGATTCGACGCAATGGCTTTTGCTCGAAAAATCCTGTTGTGTATCTTTTTCAAAACGATTACCCCTATGTCAAAAAGCTTCACCACGACAATGTCAAACTGTCTGTTTATAAAGGTATTTTGAACTGCCTCAAATCAAAAAGAATTCTTCGAGCCTGACATCGTCTGATGTTTAATTATTCGATCTGATCAGAGCAACTCACAACCATTGCATTTAACCGAAAACCAAGATCATGAACTCGTTCAACAAAGATGGATTTAAAAACAATTTTCAATAAATGACTTGACCTAATGTGCTGATTGTTTTCTATAGCCGATAAGCTACACAAATGGTCGCTCATTTTGTCATCAATAATCGATGAAGAAGTAGCTCTGAAGCGAGACGGCAATCTCACTCAAGGTTCTATCTTAATTTCCCAAGCTATTCATACAAATAATATCAAAAATATATTCATCGCACGAGGTATTTTTGTATATCATAATAACAAGTCTGATAATGTGTGCATGTGGAGCTTGCATAATAGAACAAGAAAAACTTTGAACGAGATTGCCGCTTCAATTCAGAGCTGCATCTTCAACGATTATTGGTAATAGAGTGCATAACTATTTATGAAACTTATTGACTTCAAACAACAGTTGACTTTCAAATCCGCATATCCCATCGAAAAAGTTAATTTTTCTCAAAAACATGAAAATTGACACAGATGCAGGGAAAGATATTTTGCACAAATTTCCGTCATTTTCTGCTTGACAAACATAGTTTTTTTCAGATGAAGTGGAAAATCTTTTTCGCTTGTTCTCTGCTTCTGCGTTTTTGATCGCCCATCTTAGCTTTCTCGAGAGTTTCATTGTAGCCAAATGCTGTTTTTTTTGTTTTGTTTGAAAGAGAATGTCAAGATGCAAGGTATGGCAGACTCGATTTTTTTTTAAATTAAACTTTCTATTAAAAAGTAAAAATTTAAAAAAGGACTATGTCATGGTCTGCATTTTGACATGCTCTTTCAAATATAATTCCATAGAATGAAGACCCATAGAGAATTTTGAGTTACCAAATGAGCTATTTTTGATATTTGTTAGTTAAATATGTTGCAAAAAAAACAAAACATCATGATACAAGATTGAAAATTTTGTCGTAATCTCTCCACTAAGCAACAACATATTCTGATGGTTTCATGAGATTTAAATGTATTTCGGCCAAGATTGATTCTTGAAGGAAGTCTATTAAATAGAATATTTCTTTGCATTGCTGTTTTCCAAACAGAGAAAATTTTGGAAAAACGCGTTTAAACGCACACAAAATTTGCCTAAAATAAGCAAAAAAGTGGACGTTTTTGTCTGACACTCGCGGTTCCCGACTGTGAGCCAAAAATACCCATTTTTATGCGTTTAAACGCATTTTCAGACAATAAAACGCGTGTACACACATAGAAAGAAGAGAAAAAGTAGCCGTTTTTTCTCATACTTGAGATGCATAATCATGATTACAGTCACAGTTTTCGAGTATAAAAAACACGATCAGTTTTTCTCTTCTTTCTATTTGTGTACACACGTTTTTCCAAAAGTTTGTCTACTTGAGTTGTGTTCTTTCAATATTAGCAGAATGGGTCATTTTGACATAAGTACAAAATAATACTTAAATAAAATATCATACGTGCATACAAATTTGTTTGACTCTGTTACCTGTATTATGACACAAATGTATGCATAAAATTAATACAGAAGAAACGAACTTATTTTTCTCTGTGGGAAAGTTTCTACTTGATATATAAATTAATGAGTATTCATCGAATTGTATATAATAAGTATGACTATGGTCAAAAAACAAAATAGTTCGTTTTTTTGGGAACATTTATAACAAAACAACACTTCTTTTTTTCTGTCTTTTTTTAATTTCTTTTGTGCTTTAGATGGTAAAAATTCAAACAAGTACACGTTGAGATGTGAGAAAACAAAAATGGAGAGGGAAAAGCTGAATTAGGCGATTAATCAATAAATAATTAGTTTGACGATGATGATGATGTAGTTTCATTGTTTACATGTGATAATTTCGATTGAATTCCAATTTTTTTTAATTCTTCAACGAGTTCGCCTGATTGATGCATTTGAAGTAAAATATCGCAACCACCAACAAATTCGCCATTGAAATAAACCTGAGGAAAAGTTGGCCAATTACTAAATTAATTATAGAAAGATTTGAAATGAAATAATGTCGTTTTTTTTTTATTTTATTTTAACCTATAAATTTTCATTGTCTCTCGAAGTTGTTGGTCATCTAAAATATTTTTTGTTTTAAAGTCACATCCATGTAGATTAAGTATTTGAAGAACAGCTTTAGAAAAACCGCAACCTAAAAATTCAAAAAATAAAATAATTCAAGAAAAAAGGAAAACCTTGAATTATATACTAGGAGCATTTGTTTCGCCTTTAATAAATAAAGCAACTTTATTTGATTTTATAAAATCATCGATTTTTGTTTTTAGTTGTGGATCAATGGATGATGATTCACTAGGAGTTTTACTTTCAGTTGATGATGAAGTAAAACGTGTTGAGACACTATTCAATACACGTATTGAAGAATATTGCTGAATGACTCGACGAAATAATAGTGAATTCATCTATAAAAGAAAATCATCAATATTCAGGAATTTAGTTTCATTTCTGTTTTAATAAATTCTTCACACATATTTGAAAAAAACAAAAAAACAAATTCTCTTTCCTATAAACAATTCATTTCAATCATAATCATATAATTTGAAGATGCTCTTAAAACGCTTCTTTCTTTATTTCCAAACAATAGCTCGATTTTCTTTTCTTTCTTTTTCCATTTTAATCACAGTGGTCGTCAACGACAGCACCAGGGAAAAAACATACTTGAAATAATACTTTAAATACAAATCAATGAATATTCAAATTATTTTCTTTTCACATTATAATAAAAAACGAAACCCTTTTTTCAGATGGAATTCGTCAAAAGAAAAAAAGGTTTCTTTTTCATTTTTTTTTTAAACAAGAAAATATATATTCACAGCGAATTTTCTTATTGTCTTGTATTCATTTGATTGAAATTCTCAACGTGAACTCTTAACTACTTCATCATTGTTAATATAATGTTGTCTCAGCCAAAATCATCCAATTTATCTGAAGCATTAATAAATGTGAAAAAAATGGAGAACAATTTTCTTAGCCGTGAATTCACATTTATTGACCGGGAACGAAATAAAATTCGTGCAAATGTTGATCGACATATGGAAACATTTTTACAATTAACACAAAAACGACACGAAATATGGTATCGACATGATAAACATTTTCGTGAAGCTTTAAGAAAAGAAAAAGAAAATCATGAAAAACGTAAAGAACGTAATAGACAAAAATTACTATTAGCAGGTAATTCAACTTATATTCCACGAGTTCAAATACCATTTCAGCCACTGATTACTGAAAGTATTGTTCTACCACCAATTGCAACACCAACAGAAGCAACATCAACAATCGAAGTAACAACAATTATAGAAGCAACACCAACAACAGAAGCAATAACAACAGTAGAAACAACAATTACAACAGAAACAACAGGAACAACAACAGAAATACCAACAGCAAATAATTCACCAACAACAAAAACAAAAAATAATACATCAACAACAACACCACGTGCTGTACCAATGACAAAAGTTGACCGACGTACACATCAAGTTTTACGTGCTTCACAAAAGTTGCTCGATGAATCGGCATCACGTTCAAGATATAAATTTGTACTCGATCGTCCTTCATCAACATCATTTAATCAGAAACGTCCACCACCTCCACCAATAACAACAACATCATCAAGTTCATGTTCATTTAATAGTGCGACACTTATTGTACCGATGACAACATCAATTGATTGTGAAGAATATAATCGTTTAGTGAATGAATCAATGCAACAAGAAACATTTAGTGAACTTGTTGATCATTTTGTTAAATTTCGTCCTGAATTTCGTGAACAATTCGGTCTTATTCACGAAGCTAGTAAACGACAGAAAGCGATGAAAAAACTACGAGAATTCAATCAGATACAAGCAAGAACCAAAGATGAACGTTATCATAAATTAATTAGCAGTCTTACCGATCTTCGTTCTGAACAAAATGAAAAACTTCCTTAATGATTAAAATAAAAACGAAGAAATAAAACAGATAAGATTTCGTTTTAATTTGTAGTAGGTGTGTTTTATAAATAATGTTTTTTTTTCTCTTTGTAACAAAAAAAGAATCTGAATAGAAAACATGAAACCTAAAATTCGTACAAGTTCACAACTAAATGAAACTTACGAAGGATGTTATTTCAATTGATTCTTCACTTTTGAACTAATGTTTTGTTCATAAATAGAACTCTGTGGAACAAAAACATTGTTCGTGGTAATAATTCATTGGTCAACAATTACATCCATTTTATTGAATTTTTGGCTTAGAGCTAGCTAAGCATCTACAATGAAGTCAAATGCAAGTATTTTTTTATTTATAATCTTTTCTTATCGGAATATTGAACTTGCAGAATATGCGTCATTATTATGTTCTATATCTTTAGAAGAAAATATTCATTTTTGCTGAAAATTTTAATATATGCTAGATATCATTAGATCCTTTCAATTCAAAGTACTTTCATTTGACTTTACCGTAGATGTCTTTCTCTAGACTAAACAAACATTCAGTAAGACGTCTGTAAACTCTGGCTCACGGATTATCATCGCGAATAGATTTAAAATATTCTTTTAGTTTTACCAAGTCCTAATTATGAACAACTTATTAGCTCAATAGTGAGAAATCAATTAGAATACTTTCCTTGTTAGTTACAGCAAAAGATAACAGTCTAATAGAATAATCGTTATATACAGCATATTTGTTAAGTGGATGAACAATAAAGCATTTGGAATATGTCATGAAAAAAAAGAAATAAAACAAAAATCTTTTTATAGAAAAGAAAAATCTTGATTTAGAAAATAATAACATGACGATAGAATTATCATTTAAGATTTGCTAACATTTGTTCGATTTCAGCATCTTCACGATTTGTTTGTTTTTGACTAGCTGCAATACTAGATGCTGTTGCTGGTACACGTGGTGCATTAGCCATCTAAAAAAAATAAATTTTTCTTTAATTTTAAATAATTTAAAAAAATTTTAATCAAACTTTTTCATTAAGTGAAATGCCAATTTCATCAAGTACTTGGTTAACAATGGCATCTTCTTCTTCAGAATCACCTTCTTGTCCTAAGGCTGCTTCAAGTGTTTCACCAACTAAACAAAATATTTTATCATTAATATATAAAATATTAAAGGGCAGGGGGAGAGCGAACTTCATATAAGGATCAGTTTTAGTCCATCCAATTTTTTCTCAGAAATGAATATGAACATAATCAGAGTTTTTAGCACATGAACTGTCGAATATATAACCCTGTATAAGTGTTTTCTCAAAGTCTTAAAATAGGAGCACATATTTCCTAGGCAAACTTCATCATTATTATAAGATTTCTTCGTACTAGAAGCTAAGAAGAGAGAGATTTTGTTTCTAACAATAGAGCGTGACTTGATCTGCATTTTACTACCAAAATATTAAATAAATCATATTTTGTTGAGCTGAAAATAGACAGACAAGAACGTTTGAGATGCCCACATAGGTGAATTTATGGGTATTAGTTGATCTTGAGCGCCTTATATCTCAGAAGATAAAAATGAACATTTGACTAAAGTTTCAGTACTCGTAGAATACATGACGAAATCCAAGAATATGTATAATTTGTCGAGAAAAAACTATGACCACATATTTGAAGTCGAGACCATTTTGTTCAGGTAGGTAAAAGTGGCCATTTTGTGAGTTATATTGCCTATTTTGGTCAGATTCGTTATTTTTCTAGTTAAAACTAATATAATATTTGGGATCGGTATCAACAATTCACTTGATTTTTCTATGTGTATTTCATATTGTTCGAACAACTTTTAATTTCTTCAAAAAATTCATCTCTGATCCTCTTCCTCAGAATTCAGTCAAAGAAACAAAGTCAATCATAACATGATTTTTTACGCTTAGTCATCTGCCTTGTTGTGTTCTATAATCATTTTACAAGATCAGAACTTATTTTCAACTGTCCAAATGAGATTTTGATTGACTTCATTTTCTTGGCTGAACCCTGAGGGCAAATCATGGTTGAATTTTTCGAGAAAAATAAAAGTTATCCGAACAATAATTCCAAATACATACAGATCAAATCAGTTATTGGTACTGATTTCATATATGTTATTTGTTTTGACTAGAAGACTGACGAAGCTGACAAAAACCAGGAAATATTAAATGACCGCTTTTTTCCTAAACCAATGTCATGCTCTATTGATCCCACTGTGAGTGAGCTCATTAGGTTGTAACTTCATCTCAGAAGAATTATCTGTCTCTTTTGCTCTCGACACGAAGAAATCTTATGATGATGTTCAAACTCCTAATATAAAACTTCGTGATAACATTTATACGTGGTTAGATTCGTTAGTTCAAGGACTACAAAACATGATCATTTTTATCTTCCTTTCTGAAAAAAAAATAGATGGATTATAATTAATACTTCTACACTCCCGTTCTTTAATACATACTCATTTCATCTGTAATTGTGAATTTCGTATGTTCCTGAGCAAATTGTTGTGTAACTTTAGACATTTCTTCTGGATTCATAACTTTATTCATTTTAGCCATGGTTTTTGCAGTTGTCTAAATAAAAATGTTTATTTAAAAAGAAAAAGAAAGTGAAATAACTAACTCCCATTGCATTAGCCATTCGAACATTTGAAGCTATCATTGTACTCTGTGTAGCTAAACCTTGAATATGACCAGATGCTTGAAGTGATTTTTCTTTTTGATTTCGAACTTTAACAAGTTGTTTAGCTAAGATTTCTACTGCCTAGAAATATAATGAATTAATTCATTATCAATAAAATATTCTTTTTATTTTTCTTTATAGTTCTTACTTTTTTATTATTAGTTGCTGCATTCTTTTTTATTTCATTAAGCTATAAATAGAAGAAACAAAAAAGAACAATAAATATGTATTTATAGAAAATATTTTCTCTTACTAATCGTTGTTCTTCAATCTCAAGTTTATGTCGATCACGTACTAAGTCTCGATCAGTTGTTCTTAATTCTCGACTATGAGCTTTTGCTTGTTCTTTAATTCAAAAAAAAAAACAAACAAAAATTATCAAAATTGATAAGAAAAAAAAAAGAACGGAATTTTCCATTTACCTGCAACAGAAGGTTTCTTGCCGAACATTTGTCTAATAACTAATAAAATCTAGAAGATATATTATATCAATTAGAATTTCATTTTTATCTATATCTATAGAAGATGAAAATAAAAAAATAAAAGACAACTTTCATACAATAACCAGATGTATATTCATGTTTTGAATGGTCAACAGATACTTCATGACAAATAGATTTTATCGATGATTGATAAAGTTATATTTGTACAGCATGATTCATATAAATGATTTTTGTTATTTGAAGAACATTGAAAATGGAATAGATGAATCATTTTTACAAATTACACAATTCATCTAGAATTTAAAAAAAAAATTTATTTCGTATGTTTCTTTTTCGTTCAAGGAAAAAAAAGAAAAACAATTTAATAGAAGATCAAACGGGCGGACTTATATTTAAATGTCTCTTTGGCAGTAATCGAAAAAGAAAATTCTTTTTTTTTGAACTTGGTATTTGCCATTATTTATCATCTTCGGATAAGCATTGTGTTGTTTTTTTAAACTTCATTGATCCATACATTTAATGAACTTTATGTAAATCATTAATTAATAATTGAGTTGAAATTAAAATTAAGTATAATCAGTACGATTGATTGCTCCATGTCGATTTGGATTCGTTAACGATTGAGAATTCATAAAAACTGATGGATCAGCATATGTAGAATCTTGAGATAATAATTGATGATGTTCATTTTGTGATGTTTGATAAACATCATACGCATCCTATCAACGAAAAATAAAACGAAATTTTAATTAAAAACAAAAAACAAAACAACAAATTTCAATACTGATTGTGAAAAATCTTGTTGTGATAAACCATAAGCGTATTGAGACATAAGACCACTTTGTGATATTGGATATGGTTGACTTATTGTACCAATTTGTGTTAAACTTGGATTATCCTTAAAAATAGACATTCTAGATAAGTTTTTTAACAAATTTTCATTGTTAAGAATGAGTTTGATTTGTGTTATGTTAGAAACAAGGATGTATAGTTTCCATTTGCTGATTACCGACAGCCACCCTGCTGTTTTTCATTAATTATCAGTTATATACAGAATACTATGACATCTTCCGAATGGAAAATATAAATGCACAGAAAGTTTTTATTGGATGAAAACATTTTAATTTAACAATTTCTGGTATTTTTTTATAAAACGACTGACTTCATGAAGTGCAGCAGCTCATCTGTTACTTTTCAATTACTTGGCTGCTCTAACAAATTCTTCTTCCTCTTTCATTCAACGCATGAGTCACGATTCAAGTCAGTCACTCATTCTCAGTATCCGAGCATCATTTCGAATTTAAAAAATTTTTCTGAGATCTTGAAAATTTGACAAGTGCACATCTGAAATCTATTCTTCGAATTTCTATTAGGAATCCTCAATTTCAGTTTCATAAATACCAACGTCACTGATTGAGTGTAGTTATTGCACGCTAACACATGATCATCAGCGTTTCCTGAAGCACTGTAACATACCACTACAAAAAGGACATATTTCGATAGAATTAATGTTTAAATGTTGCAGCAAATGCGAATGTTAGTAGGCATACGCCGAATCCGAACGTTTGGATTAAACCTTGAATACAGTGGTTTTCAGTTAATTAATAAAACTAGGAAGTGTATTTTCTAACAAAATCGGTATCAGTATTTATACTGGAATTGTACTTATTGAATTAAAAAAAATATTAACAAACCTGTGATTGAGTTGTGCCATTGGCAGATTTTGAAAATCGTGGAGGTTTTAATGAACTCTTCATTTTTATCGCACTTCCTTTTCCAGTTTTAACATTTGTTGTTTGATTATTCATTGATCGACCTAAATATAAAAGTTATTAATCAGATGAAAAAATCGAAAATTCTTTTAAACTTACCATTCATCATTGTATTAAATGATGAAGATCCATTCATATATGGTATTGGCATTGATGACATCATCATTTGATGTGGCATTGGTAAATTAAGTCCATTAGATAGTTGTTGTGATGCACCATTCATTCCTGCCGTATCAATATAACTTAATGGATCATGAGCACGAAAATTTGAATTGAAATTATTTGCAAACATTGTTCCAGTCATTTGACGTTTATCATTCATTGTTGTTGTTCGATCATAGACTGAACCAGGAATTATTGCTTCTTTAGCTTAAAAGAAAAATAAATTTTTATCATTTCTTTTGTCTTTTTCTTTTGATCATAGAGAAAACAAACCAGAAAACATAGCATTTGACATAAATCGACCACCAGGATTTGTTGGATTAATAAGTTTTTTTGGTTTAGAAAATTGTATAGCACTTTCTCTAAGATTATTTAATGGACCTTCAACAAGTACATGTTGTTCTTTATAATATGTTAATAAATGATTCCATAATGGTTGACGTGAAAGAACTTTTGGATTACCAATTATAATAATACCATATCTAAAAACAAAAACAAAAAAACAAATGTTTATCTTTTTATATAAAAAAAAAAAAAAATGTTTACTTTGCTCGAGTTAATGCAACATTAAGTCGTCGTGGATCATTTAAAAATCCAATACCTTGATGTTCATTAGCACGTACACATGATAATATAATAAAATCTTTCTCACGTCCTTGAAATGCATCAACACTAGCAACTTCAATTTCTTGATAAAGTTTTTCATTTAATGAACCACTATATTGCATATGTTGAACAATAAAAGCACGTTGTCCTTCATATGGTGTTATTATACCGATTTGTTCAGGTTTAATACCAGCTTTAAGTAAACGTGTTGCAGTTTTTTCAACCATACTTGCTTCAGTTCGATTAAGATATGATGTACCACTACTAGAAATTTCTTCTTGTCCTAATGAACAATGAAAAAACATTGGTTTATCAGGTTGTATCCATGGAAAATCTAAGCCTTTAATTGTACGTTCAGCTGCTGTAACACCATTTTGAAGTGATCCTTAAAAGAAAAAAGAAAAAGAAATTTTATAAATTAATATCGAAGATTTCTATATAATGAATGCAAATAAAATTCAATTCGAGAGAATCGTTAGAGATTTCACTGAAGTTTAAATAGACTAGAGTTTTATTTTCAATGAATTTGATTTTCATATTAAAAATCAACCATATAGCAAGATGCTTGATAGTTTTTAGAAGTGAAAGACGCTAAAAATTTGGTAGATAGTCTTTCAACAGCGACTGAAATTTTTTGCAGACGTGACGTTAAAAGTGGCAGGGGAGGGGAGCATTCGAAACTGTCCCACATCGAGACCTATGTTGTGAACACCATTTGAATATTAACCTTTTGCTGTCTAGCATTAAATGTAGTAGCATTGATGTTGAGTCAAGCTTTTGTCGGTGTTATTTATGACACTGATATGATTAAATCTGAGCGAAATCATTTCATTATGAAGATACAAAATGGATCGTAAATGATATGAGAATTGAATTCATTTTTAATTTGAGTTCATTTTTTGAGGTTTTTAATTATTGTTTTAAATAATGAGTAATGATATATAATTTCACACTTTCAAAGGCGTCGATTTTTGACTTAAAATCAAATCTTTCATTTTCAGATTACACATTCCTATTGTTAAAGTCTCGCTCAGAAGGAAGACCATAACAAAAACTGCAGATTTCTACCGTTTATCGATAAGAAATTTTTTACAAATGGCCATGGAATGCTTTTGAAATGGCTATTAGTACTAATTAAATTTTTAACATGAAGATCGTGCTATGTGTGAGTTTCTATCGAATATAAAATAATGCTAGAAAAATTGTATTTCATATTGCTTATTATGAATGAGTCAAGAAAAATAATCCAACACAGGAACAATAGGTTAATTGTTTATCATAGCAGTAATTCTCAATCTTGACAATGTTCATTCAAAGATGTGATTGACAAAATTCAGAGAAAATTTTTCTTGAATTATAAAATAAATCAAACCTTCATAAAAAATATTCGATGGAAATGCTGATAATGCTGGGTGCATTCGATATTGTACTTGTAATCGAATTGGACGAATACCAAGTACAACAAGACGTTCAAATAATGATTGACTAAGTCCAGCTTTCGCTGCTTTTTTACTCATAACAACAGGTCCTAATTGACAATGATCACCAACTAAAATAAGTTGTCGTGCACCAAGTACAACTGGTACCATACATTCAGGTTCTGTTGCTTGTGTTGATTCATCAATAAGTATTGAACGAAATTGATAACCATGTGATAAACGTGGATCACCTGAACCCACACATGTACAACAAATAACATCAGCATTTCGAAGTAAATCACTTTCACATTTACGTTTTAATGTTCGATAACGTTTTTCATCAGCTGATGATAATTCACCAGTTTCATCTTTTAATTGTTGTAATTTTTTTAATTCAGGTTCACTAAATATAATAATAATAATTTAATCAGATTAACTAATATTGCAAATATAAGACAAATATCCTTCCATTTTTCGTCTGCAAAGGTAGATTTTGGAAAAAATATCTATGGTATTCATTTGAACAATATTAAAAGTTTGTTCGCAAAAAAACAACTCAAAATGGTTGATGTAAAAGAATCTATTGATTTCAATATTTTTTGACCTTCTCCTAGTCATTTCGTTGAATATTGTTGATAATTTTTCATTAGATTCATCATTTAGTTCTCTACAAACTGGGTAGAAAATATTATCATGCTGTTTTAGATGACATTGAAAAAACTTAGAAAGGCAATTCTTGCCATTTCTCAGATAAATGTTCATGTTGTATTGCTTTTCGAATCTTAAATCCATCTTATTTTCAAAACTTCTCACAGGACAGAAGAAGCGAGTGTTGAGATTGTCCTGCAGGACTCTAATTGTTTTATTTTCTCGATGTTCACATTTGTTCTTATTATACGGCGGCCATCATCTGTAAGTTCCGATATAGTTTTTGCATAGTTTTCAAAGAATCAAATGGCGAATGTAATAAAAATGATCAACAATATCCAACGAAGTGAATAGGAGAATGCCGAACAATATTAAAAAAATAGTTTTTCCTTTGCATCAGCTATTCTTACGGATAACATCTTAATATCATTTAAACATGTATTTGTTACTTAAAGGCAACATATGATTAAAAAGTTTCTAACATACAATAAGAAAGCTGCTTTCAACGTAGATCCTGGAAAGATTTTTTTCCCGAAATCTGTCTTTGCAGATCGGAAAAAAACGAAAGAACATTTGTTCAAAAAATTTCGTAAAACCTGTCAATTTCAAAATCTTACCTTTCAAGATTTCTTATTTGATTATGTAATGCTAAAAATGAAACAGGTGAATCTAATGCTTCACGACTTTTTGCACATAAACGAACAACTTTTAAGCCAGTTTTATGAATTTTTTCTGTTAATTGATCAACAGCAATATTACTTGGTGCACATACAAGTACTTGTCCTTGGTTTTGTTTAACAAGATGATAAACAATAGTTGCTGATGTTACAGTTTTTCCTGTTCCAGGTGGACCCTGAATAAGACTTAATGGACGTTGAAGAACTGTTTTAACAGCATAAACTTGTGAATGATTTAATTCTGGTAAACCTGGTGCTGAAAAACGTTTTGGTAATGTTACTTTCATAACTAAATCTTCAAGTTCATGACCTAATAAACGATGATATAAATAAGCAGACACACTATTTTCATCAACAGCAAATGTTTTTAATGCTGCTTGCATTCTAAAATAGAAAAAAAAACGAACAAAATTTCTTTCTATAAAAATAAAAACAAAAAGGATTCTACCGATCAAATGAAGTTGATTTCCAAACAAATTCAACAACAAAATTTGTACTATATTCAATTGGTGAACCTTGACTTATTTTCAGTTCGATGCCTATTTCTTCTCCATAATCTAAATTTTTTTTTTATTTGTTAAGTTTTTATTTGTTATTGGTTTTTTTACTCTTACTATTTGGAACTTTAACAACATGTCCAACACCTGACCAAGTTAATTTGGATAAATCACCAACATATCTTAAACGTAATTCATCACCTGGCATTAATCTCATTTCTAGGCGGAAAAAAAAAAATTTACAAATATTTCAATATATGTTATTTCATTCGTTTGACAAATGATTTTGCATAATAAAAATGCGTATATGTCTGGATTGTGAATTTTCTTTTAGATTATTTTTATGTACCAAATTTATGCTGAATTGCTCTAGAAATCCTGAAAAAATTGAGCTCTATAGACGTTTTTTCTGAGATGTTCTTATTGGACAATTAATATTAACGATGCGACACAAAATTTTTTTTACTGTATACGTTTCCATTGATAATAGTCTAAGTTCAAATATTATTTTACAAAATAAAATGGTGCGTTTTGTAGAAGACTGTTCAAATTACCAAATCTCTACGCAATGTTTTTTATGAGCATGCTTCGCTTTTCCAAAAAATTGAGTTCATTCGTTATGAGTAATGTGCCTGATAAGGAAAGCATCCCAAGTGAGTTTCTTGCATCTTGGAAATAGTTTCGATTCTTAGCTTATTGCTACTGAGATATCGCACTTTTACGGTAGTTTTAAAATGCCATAGTTGCCCTCTCAAGAACACCAGAAAAGATTATTTTCAAAATTTTGACTTGAAGCTTTACATAGAGACAAGCATTAATGAGAATAGTTTAGAGTGAAAATTTCAGGTCTTTTAATTTGTTTCTATTCTAAAGTAAGAGCATCGGAATCTGTCGTTATATAAGTTGTCTAAGAAATATCTAAATAAAGAAAAATTTCAGTATCTTTACCATATTGACTGATATTTTTATTGTTAATCAAGAAACGTTCATAGTTATAAAGAAAACATTCTCAAAACTTGTTTTTAAGCAGTACAACTAACTTCAGTAAAGAGCCGAAACATTTCACTAATTATGAAAAACTAATATTATAGTTTTATTAACAAATTCTTGCTGTTTATAGCTGAAAATTTCAAAATATATTGAGTAACAAGACATGTATTTGTAGTATAATTATGAGACTTGACGATATTAGTATGAAGAATTAATCGAAAAAGATTAGACCATGTTTATACTTCGATAAAGGGAGAAACATATTGTTTTCTTTTTTTCATAACTTGTGAAAGATTATAGTTAATTGTTAAAGCCTGTTGTAAATACTTGAATATGAATATGAACTATCAACATTACTTTATCAGTAGTAAAAGTATCAATCCATATGGTCGACATATGGTGGAGATATTCAAATTGTTCTATGTTTAGATAGCTTGTGTAAAACCCTACATATGAGTGATATAAAAGACATGTTCGTACCATAGTGGTACCTGACGAAAGGAATAACGACAATATTTTGAAACATTCACAAGAAACTATTCTCATTAAGAACTATCTCTAGACAAAGTTTCAAGTCGAAATTTGCAAAATTATGCTTTCTAAAAAAAAAGATCACTGCATTCATTTAAAAGCTGCCGTAAAAATGCAATATTCCAGCAGCAGCAATAAGCTATGATCTTGAACTGTTCTTAGGGTTTTCAAAGCTCATTGATTTCTACATAATGCACATAGTTTCGACTCAAAAGTGATTTATCACGTGAGAAACTTTCCTTGTTAGTATGTATATAGAAAGAGAAAATCTTCTTCGAGATCTTCATATGATAGCAACACAAAAGATTTGTTTCCTGACAAATAGAAGACTTATGAAAGAAAAATGGACTTTAGGATTTTTACCTTCATTTGCTTTTGGTAAACAAAAATAAGCTAAACGTTTTTTATTTAAACCCATATCCCATCGAACAGAAATATTTTCTTGTGTTTGAGATTCTTTTAATTTTCTATCATCATCAGCTTCCATTTTAACTAATGGACCAAATATATTTTGATATTGATATGCATCTTCATATCTTAAACTACATTGTTGTGGTTCTTCATCAATTCCTGGTTTATCAAGATCCATTATTGTTGCATCTGGATTTTCTTTCCAAAGTTCTTCTAAACGATTTATCATTTGTGCTGTTATTTGTCGTGCACGTAATTGTTCTTGTTCAGATGGAATTTTAACAAGCCATGTTAGAAAACATCGATCTTGAATTAATGGTTGCCATTGACTTGGATCCCTATTATATTTTTTTCAAATTCAAAATAAAATCTCAAATAATAATAAAAATTCTTTACCAATTCATATCTTTAAGTGCACTTTGACTTGCACATGGTTGCCGACAAAGTAAAACAACAACACTATCAGCTTTAGCTGGTATAAAACCAAGTAAAAATACATTTCGACATCCACAATTATAACATTCTAATTGTGTTTCACCTAATGGACCATCTTTATGTAATGTTACTTCTTTACATTTAGCTCGAACAAGATGATTAACTATATGACTAAAAAATAAATATTAGATAAAAGAAACTATTATCGACACCAACGTATAAGGTAGGTCAATGTTTTTTTGAATAACTTTCGATAAGAACATCATAGAGACATGTGATTTTCACCATTCAAAAGAGATGATTTGGGGTCACTGAAATTTAATTAATCAGCAATTGACCAATCAAATGAGTGTTTGACAGGCATGTAGAGTCTACCGGTGCGTGCCAACAACCGTTGAGGGAAATTTTTAAAAGTTCAGCAATATCGAGAGAAAGTTTTGAAAATTTAGTAGCATCTGAGAAAATTTTTTGATAAATATTTTCTCTCATAAGGAAAATTTTTCAATTTTCCAAACGAACCTCAATTTATTTATATAAAATTACAACGATAAGACCTTCTATTTTTCTTTTCATTAAACTTCTGACAGAATCATCCGTGTTTTTATCATAGTGCCAATATCGTCGATCTTTGTTTACGTTGATCGTGCATTTTGCTATTTCTTTCATCCTATCTCTTTGTTTCTATTCATAATATGCCACGCACTATTTGTGCGGTGTGTAGATGACGAGAGAAATAGCATTCCTATATCTCCATCCACACCCACTCTCGTTACAATTGATTGACTGCATATGATGAGGGAGCTGCAACAATAGAAGTACTTGAGAACGAATTGTGAACGTTACTTCGACCAGCAGATATTAAGTTCATATTTTTCTGTTGTTTGAAACGATCAAATAGCGAAAGATCAGCAACATTTACAAATATGTTTTTATTACAATGATTCTTTCTTCTACCATTTCATTTTTATTATATTCCTGGAATTATACATTTATCAGAGATAGACGAGAGTCATAGACGTCATCTGATAATGACATTTGTGTTACTTTTCTATGTAGCTTTTAATATCTTAGAAGTAAATCACAATACCTGTTTTTTAACAAGAATCGAGTGTTTGGAATTTTCAGGACACAAAGATCTTCTTCTGCTTTACCCTGCCCTGTTATCTTACAGAGTACGGTTCAGATTTTATATGGTCTCTGCTTCGTGGACATCTCTGGAATGCACTACTATTATATTCAGCTGATGCATTTTTTGCAAACTCACTCAATGATTATTTTATTAAAAAAGAAGTGAACAATATCAACTTTGGAAACTTGTTTCTCCTGGTTCGGTTTAAATCTTTTACGAAAAGCACAAGTAACAAAATTATTTAAACCAAACAACGATATTGAATAATAGCATTTTTCAATGTGTATTTGCAATGTGTTATTTTCTTGGATAAACATCTTAAACGAGAGAACTCGTTTTTCAATTAAATTTTACAGCGGGGAAAATTTTGCCGTTCCGGAATATTTTTTATTTTATCGGTAGGTTCTTCACTTCTGATGTTTGATGAAGGTTTTCGAAAACAATATTCAAAAGTCATCTCTCTTTCAATTTAGACTTATGATACGACCAATCGATAAAAAAAATTCTTCTCTTTCAATTTATGCAAAATCGACATTTCTAGCTTGCTCCGTTCAAGTTTTATAATTCTTTTCCTAAGACTTCCAATGTCAGCCAACGAACTTATCATCATCCGAAAAAGCAGCTAGGCAGTGGTAAATCACTATACTAAGTCGAATGATGATATTTTTCTTCAAGCTTCAACTGATCGGACACTGTTATCGCAAGATTTCCGAAACGTCGACTCAATACGATGAAATACCCCTGCTTATTTGGTTTTCTGGGTAATTACAGATCACTTTGCTGAAATCAGAGGTCTCAGAAAAAGTCTTATAACTCTTGAATGGAGCAAACTAAAAATGTCGATCGTGCGTAGATCGCAAGAGATGAATTTTTCTATCGATTGATTCTACTTGAAGTCCAAATTGAAATGAAAATGGCTTCAGAATATCGTTTTCGATGGCATTGAGTCTTCTCTCTTTGGAATGGTGAAAATCACAGGTTTCTATGATACGCTCCTATCGAAAGTTATTGCAAAATATTGATCTGCCTTATATTATGGCATCAATGTTAAATGTAATTATTAATTTGTTTTTTTTTCTTTTTACCTTCCTGATGTATTACCACGTCCATTACAAAACCATTTTCGTGTTTGACTACACATGACAACAGCAGCTGGATCATGAATACCACAATATCTAAAAAGAAAGTCTGTTTTTCTCAAATAACTATTTTCTTTTTTAAACAATTAAATTTACACGCAAGCATGTTTTGGTAAATCTTTTTCATAAAAACCTTCTTCTTCATCTTCAAATGGTAAATCACGTTGTTGAATTGGATTATTATTGACATTATTTATTCCATTAAAATCATCAGACGGAAATAACGAACTCTAATAAAAGAAGAGAAATCTTTTTATTAAAGAAGTTAAATTACATCATGTTTACATGGTGCTGTGATGGATTAATATCCGTTAATGGTAAATGACTTTGTGATGGTAATGTTAAATCATCGAAACCAAAATCTGTGCCTTGAGTATTTCCACTAGTTAAATCAGGATCATAAAAAACTAAAGGATCTCGATATGTGTTACCAATACCAGATGAAGGATCTTGTGTAACACCTGCACCATAGGACATTGTTTATCTAAAATGAATTCTTCTTCTTATCAAAGAGCAAATTTCTTCAAGATGAAATACAGCAATAAATGAATTATATGATCATTTCGTCAAAAGTATTCTTTTTTCTAGATACTGATAATGAAGACAATAATATATCATGATTCATAATTTATGACACACGTTAAGAGGTTTTCTAATATAAACCAATAGAATTATTTATGATGAATTCAGTACAAAAATATTAGTCAAAATTTATCACATAAGAACAAAAGAAAGATTAAGATGAAATTCAATCTTGTCAGTTTTTATAAAATATAATCTTTGAATAAGAAAAAAAAATAAACATTTTAGAGCGACATCTGTTGAATTGACGCATTACAATAAACGATTTTCCTAAGAAATTTGCAAGAAATAATACTTGATTGAAAGCAATTTACATGATTAAATGAAAATACTGAATATTCATTACGATGTATACAATTCATTAGTTGTGAGATATAAGAATTGCATTTATATTCAAAAGAAAGTGTCAATTTAAAAGGGTATCCTATAACGATTGATGATAAATTGTCAACCAGAGGTTTCAACGGGCTGAGCCTTATCAAGCTTATGGATCGATATGTTTTTAAATACAAAACTCTGCTATATAACGAACTGACTTGACATTGGGATGCACTGAGTCTTGAATAAAATGTAAAATTTTCAAAAGATGTTGCGTATTTCCACTCAATGTTTTTTTCGAAAATTCTATGTAATTTTTCCATGAACTAAAACATTCCTATAATGAACAGCATTGTTATCACCTTAAAAAACTTTCTTTATATTGAACATATAGTATCCATACTTAGCTCTCCTCGCTCATCAACAATTACTTTTTCTAATTCTAATTCTATTCCTACTGAACTTTCTCAATCATCAATTTTCTTTAACAATTTCTCTTCAACTACCGGTACATCAACTGCAAGTACTCGAGCTATGCTTCCTTATTTACGTATTTAAAATTTATTGAATGCAATTAGGTGAGTGATCCTTAGATCAGTCAGTTTTTAAGAAAAAAACATGAACTGAATTGAGTCAAAAGTGAATAACTCATCGGTCGGGTTTCTTCGAATCAGCCCAACCCACTGAAACCTCTGTCGCAGAGTTGAAATCGATCTAGTCGGACTGGACAAGAAGTTAAACCGGACCGGACAGGACCAATTTTTTTGCCAGTACATCATTACAAATTTGTTGTTTGCACTCGAGAATTTTCTCTACTCAAAACGGTACTTTTCTATATCTCTATCGATTTCTTTGTCGCGTGTCGTTCACTTCAACCTAGATCAAATAATTTAATTTTTTCTTGTACTTAGACCGCTGTCTGAATCAAGAAAAATAAATATTTACATTTTTGTGCTAGATTTGTTATGAGCTTGCTATTTTTCTTTTTTGGAATTAAAATGAAATAACAGGTTTGATCTGAATAACTAATTTATATTGATATCTGACTCGAAAAGTCGATGCATCTTACTATAAAATATGATAATGAGAGTTTCATTTCCAAGTTTTAGTACCAAGTTCCGATATCAACATGTGAATATTCAATACTCCTTCACTATCATTTTATGCGAACAGGTACTTTTATGGTTGATTATATTCGGGTGTAGGTGTTTTGCCAGTTTGGCTGTAAAATTCATCCGACCGGACCGGACAGAAAAAAACTGTTCGATTCTAATTCTGTTCTGTTGTCAACGACATTTTTTATGCATTTCCTTGACGTAAAAGGCTGCAATTTTTTTCACATATATATATCTAATCAAGATTTTAAATTCACCACAGCTTCAGGTCTATAGTTAAAACTACTGTTGAACTGCATGAACAAGATGAACAAACATAAATTGTTGTATTAGATTTTGGTAATATTTTTACTATGTAATGAGTCACAACAGAGCGACTAAGGGTTGTTTTAACTATATAGAAATGCATTTTTATCTAAAGTCTTTTAGATTTAATGACACATTTTATCTTAAATCTCCATCAGTTACGAACATAGAAAAGATAGTCAATAGTTTGCATTAGATTTAAATAATCTTAATACAACATAGAGTATATATCACTCGATTCGTACCACTATTGTTTTTATCAACGTATAGAATCAGTAGATATTGATGCTAAGTTTTGCGTAAAACTGTTTGATACATTATTACAATTAGAAAAAGACAATACAAAACAATAAAGGAATTTTTCGAAAGAGAAATGTGCTAAAGTAATATACGAAATACCTGATCAATTAAAATTAGTCGTAGAAGAGATTTTCACAGGATAGGGTCAGGTCTTTACACCCTGCAAATTTAAACATAAAATGTTCTAATTTTCATCTTCAAAAAGAGTACTGTTTTAAGTGTCAAAAATCGGAAATAGATTGTAGACGATTTTATCAATTGATATTCAAAATCTTCATCTATGGATATAAATTCAAATGAAAATGGTAGAATAAAAATAAATAAAATCATCATTGGCAAAGTGTATCTGTATTTCTTACTCACTGTTTGCTGCATTAAATTCATCTCAAAAAAAACAAAGATTTCATCTTGAAAATAGTAATTCAATAAATGTATCAGTGCCTCGAAGTCATATTTTTCAAATGCTCGAACAGTATTGTTTTTGAACTCGATTGAAAAATACAATCAAGACAGTGTATTGGCTTTGCACAGTACCCTATCTTGACCTGTCTGATCTAATGAAGCAGGACAAAATATCATCCTGTGAACCAGAGATGCACGGGGCATTGATTTTTCATGCCCCGCGGGGCTCGCCCCGTAAAATTCACAAACCCGTCCCGCCCGAACCCGTAGATATTCTTAATGAGAATCCCCNTCAGGGATTTAGGAGGGTCGAAAATTTTGTTCTGTTTTTCGAAGAAATGGTCTATGCCATTCGATCCAGGGTAGAATTTTAATTCGTCGCAAGTGAAAATTTTCATAAGTGAACGTCTTTGGAAAACGCTCAAGGTCGTTTTCCTCGATGCTATTTACCTAGCTTTTGACAGTATATGCCACTTTCTGTATCCAACGTACCATTTTTTTTCCTATTTTTTTTAACATTTTGTAGAGAATCAAAAGTTATACAACATATAAAAAATTCAGTCTGAGTTCTGATGTTTCCGATAAATGGCAGCAGATATACCTCCAAAAGTCTGACGTTATCGGCGGGTAATCTGTTACCTTTTTTCATTCATGTTAGTCCAGTAAAGGAACGATATACAATATTTCATATAGCTCATTTTTTTCATCTATCCATACTCTATCATTTGGTATATAACATGAAAAAATTCTCTTCTTCCTAGTAGTGTAATACTATCAGACATTAATGAGATGATTTACCATTGTTCTTGTTGATACTCTGTAGATAGTGCTAAAAATTTAGGGTTATTAGTTTCAGACGTTGTCCTTTCGAATGCACATAGAAAATCAAAAATTTAAATTTTGACGAGTGCTTCGTATACTGAGGTCATGTTCGATGATCTCATGGAGACTCTCTTAATGCGTTTTCTATTTTTGCTAAAATAAATTAAGTCTACTCTTGATTGATTTATCTATAATATTTTTCAAATAAGAGCGATTATAAGAACATAATAGAATTTCATATATAGTTATTCAAAATATTTCTGGAAATGAAATATCACAACATAGAAAGGAAATGATCATTACTTGAAGTATATCTATTAAAAAGAAAATGTTCTTACGATCAACAAAGGGTTCGTCCAGCAGTACGATAAATCTTATCAGGGCTTCAATCCAAGTAGAAAAAAAAGATACAAACAAAAGAAAAATATTACATTCATTATTTGAGAATTATGACTTCGAACATTTTTTTGCGTGATAAAAATCAAAAGAGAATGGAACATGTTACTGATTCGTTTCAATCGATCTTATCATACTATCAATAAGCAAAATATATACGTACATAATGAAATAGAAAAAAAAATAGACGAGCTTTCTTCAATACAGGGATAATCAGTGCAATCATTCGAATTTTGTGTAGTGTTACAAATTTTGAGTCAATACAATGCACATTTGGAATGTTTTTTATGACTAGAACGTTTTTTAAGAGATAAACGAGCAGCAAGAATAAATAATTCTTGTACACCCTCACGAGTTCTAGCTGAACATTCCATATAAGCATCAGCTTTGATTTGTGCAGCTATTTGTTTACCAATATCAATTGCTACTGGTTTTTCACCATCTTGTTTTAATTTTGCAATTGTTTGAGAATCTATTCTTAAATCTATTTGACATGCTACTAATATAACTGGACATGAATTACAAAAATGTCGTACTTCTGGATTCCATTTTTCAATAACATTTCTAGCTGATACTGGATGATTAACACTAAAACATATCAATACAATGTTTGTATCATTATACGAAAGTGGACGAAGAACATCATAATCTTCTTGACCGGCAGTATCGAAAAGAGCCAATGTGATCTATAAACAAAAAATTTTATAAATACATATAAACTCATAGAAATCATATAATAATAATATTTTAATTGATAATAAAAATTTATCATATGAATTTATATTGAAAAAAAGAGAATCTACCTACTTTTTTATCATCTATTTGTATAGTTGTAGCATACGTATCGAAAATAGTTGGTGCATGAGTTGGATCAAATGTATCATAAACAAATGCATATAACAGACATGTTTTACCGCACATTCCATCACCAACAATGACTAGTTTTCGATGTTTTTCAATAGTTGTTTTTTTATTACTTTGCATCTAAAAATACAATCAAAATTTTTTCTCTTCGAAAAATTCATCATTTTTACATTGTTTTAATCAATGTTTAATAATTTATCCATTTTAGTAAATGCTTATTATATTTAGTACTATTTGAACTTACAATTTATTGTGAATATGTATATATATTATAATGACAGTGTTTTGAAGAACTAAATGTAGAAAGCGTCATTTAAAAGAAGAGATTGATAAATTTGTTTCTTTTATGTTAAGGTTGTTTTCTTCTATTATGCATTTTAATTTCTTTTATAGTGCATGCTGATACTCCTTACCTTTTTTACAAAAAGAATTGGAAGAGAATAAAAAGCGAATACATGCATAGGTAAAGAAATCATGAATTGTGCGTCAACAGAAAAACAAACTCATTATAATGTTATTTCATTATTCTTTCTGAAAGAAATGAAGCATTGATCTTGTTCTATATTTTCATTAGTCTTCGGAGAAAAAAAAAACTCATGAACTGTTTATCATGACCTAGACGATTTATAATCTTTGATTCGAGATTACTTGCACTTGTACTGTTTACAATTGCAGTTTATTATTTAAAACAAAAACAGATTAGTATGGCAAACTTTGATGAGAAGATTTCATACATAATTTAAAATTAATAAAGATAAGAAAACATCTTCTGTTACATTCAATAGTGAACTAATGAGTAACATCGATTAATAATGAAAATTTTCATTTTTTAATGAAAAAGATATAAATAGAAAGTTTATGATGATGAGGTTCACATGAAATCAAAGACGACATAGAAATGTTTTCATGAAATGTATTATCCTCTTGAATAGGATGCATCAACGTCTTTCTACTAAATCTAGAATAGGATTCATCATAGATGAGATTGTGAATCATATTATTGTTATGAAGACTACAGAAAAAAAAATTGTTTTTTATTCAAAATACAATGCAACAATAAGTCAAATACTGAAGATCATAATTAAGAAAAAAAAACACATAACAGAATATAAGCACCACATATATATGCAAAATTTGAGAAATTGCAAATTATATTTGATATGTCATTTATAGGAAGGACGTACTTTTGAGCGCGATAAATGAGTTACATATATAAATCATTTCTAAAAATTTCATACGAACATTAACTAAGATTTGTCTAAATAGTTTAATATCAATGCTGAACTTTCTTGCTTGAATGTTTTAATTTTGTTAATATCTGTTCTCAAGTTTATTTTACAAGCAATCAATATGGTGGCATATGAATCGCGTAAACTGGCATACTTCGGCATTCCGTTTCTCAATCGTACTTACAACAGATAGTGAATTATCAGCATTGAAAACATAATACTCACTCCCTCGTACAAAACAGAAGGCCCCGGGTCTTCTATTATGTTTTAGTGTACGAACGTTTTAGAAGAATCGTCTATAATGAGTCTTCTTCTTAGATCAATGATTTTGACAGGTTCTCGATAGAAAACTCGAGAAAATGATATGAACTTAGAAGTAAGAATCAGGTGATTGGATTCAGTCTCCCTCGGACAAAAAAGAACTGCCTTTTTCTATTTCATTTTTGCATCACTTAATATGTTGTTTTAAAAAAAACAAAATATACCACAAGATGCAGCATGAAAAGTTCTTGAACCCACAAAGTAAATCTTATTTTAAATGTGTACTTTTATTTCAGAAAAAAAAGCAAAATTCTGTGCAACCAATTTTCAACACTGCCAAAAAAAACATTTTTTTCTGTGCGAACGAGAAATTCCTTTTTCCTTATTTCATCTTTTTATGAGTTAATATGTTTTCGTAAACAAAACAAAATATACTGTGAGATGCAGCGCGAAAACCTCTACAATTTACATAGGACAGTTTATTGAAATAGGAAAAAATGAATTTCTCGTTGGTGCAGAAAAATGATTCTTCCGCAGCGTCGAAAATTGGTCGGACACAATTTTGTTGTTTTCAAAAACGAAAAGTACATAATTGAAATAAGCTTTACTTTGTCGATTGTAGAACTTTTCACGGTGCATCTTGTGGTATATTTTGTTTTTTTAAAACATCGTATTAAGTGATGCAAAAATCAAATGGAAAAGGCAGTTTTTTATCGGAGGGAGAGTGGTCGGACTTTTTTAGTTCTGAGGAGAAACGGCTCACCGGATTCCTAATTCCAAGTTTCTATCATTTTCGCAAGTTTTCCGGTCGGAAACTGCCTATATACTTCTTGACCTGGGTTTTAATATGAACTTCTATTCACAAAGGATTGACTATTGTTATTATATTTCAGCTCACTGTGCCTATATTTTAAACATTAAAAAAAATTACAATTGAATTTCACTTTTTCATAAACTGACCTGTTTCACTTTGTTGTTGTTGTTGACGACGTTTATCAAGTGTGAGTTTTTATTAATTTTTTTCGATCATCGTTAGAAGACGCAGATCGATATGATACAAAAGATAACTTACTGATATTGATCGATGTCATGAATAAATAATATTAATCAAACTTAGAAAATGATTGTACAGGATAGAAATTTAAAATTAAAATAACTTTTTAACAACATAAGAGTTCAGTTCATGAAATTAACACTTAATAGTAAAGAAAAATATGCTTCATATTGAATAAAATTCTATCTACATTATAAGAGTCAGTTTAACTCAAAAATGATGCATAAGTCAGATTCGCAAGTGTTCGTAGCTAATACAATAAAATTTGATGTTATTTAATTGCTAGAAAAGTATTAGCAGTCTTGGCATGCTGGTATCTCTATGTATATTTTCGTAAAATATGATGCTTGTAAATGTCGCCAAGAATAAATACAAATACATGTTTATGGTTAAATTGATATCAACGAAACAGAATATCTGACATTTCTCATGGCAGTTGAAAAAATAATAAATAGATTTGACGAAGATTCGATTGTTCATGAAGCAACAAGAAGTTTTTGAATTATGATTGTCGGTCCATTTTATCGTTATTAAACTTAAAAACCTGTCAGTGCAACCTCTGAAAGGTCAAAATGGAAAATATAACGAATCAGCATAAATTATAAATCAAAAGATTCTGCAACATATGTTGCGATGTATAACTTCCAACGTACTGATATGTCCATGAAGAAATATGTTACTTGCTATATATTACAGTGAATTTGAAAAAGGAGCCAAAGACAAATATATTAAATTCAATTTTCTTTCATGATAATGTCACAGAAGACTTTAATCTCATTGCTAATTCTGTCACATGCTGCAATCAAGAAAAGTGTCACTAAGGTGTCCGTGAGGAAGAGGGGTAGGTGCAAATTTTTACTTCTATACTTCAACATACGTTTTAGATCGTGTCTTACAAAAATCTAATTGATTCTGATCTTCTTATTTTAAAAGATAGGTTAAGGGTGCTCTGCTCTCCCCTCACAAACGAACTTTTTTATTTTTCCATGGGATTCAACCAAAATTTCAGAGAATGTTAGTCTTGGATAAAGTAGATTACGGCTAAAATATCTCCTAAAAGCTGTGAGATATTCACGAGTTATAGTCAATTTATTGGTCAAAACTACCCTGTACACAGGCAAGGTTTTCACAATCAGGATACGAGCTAACATGGCGGGATGGCTTTTAAGTTGTAGAGCACCCTTAGGGCTAGAACCTCATAGAGCCCAATTTTTGAAATTCCTTTTTTTGTTTCTCAAAAAAATCTTTTTCGAAAAATTCTCGAATTCATGGTCGAAGAAAAAATCGCTGGTAAAAATGAAATATATAAGTTTTTAATTTCATCAATAGAGAAATTCAAAAATAGGCCTCTATTAGGATCTAGCCCTAACTGTACTCTATGCAATAAAAAAAATTATTACTTCTATATTGAGTAAGGTTTGCCCACGCAAACAGCATACTCGAAAAGAAGGATTTTGAGAAAAACGGAAAATAATTTTTTTGAAAACCTTGTTTTTTTTCAATATGGAGGTTCAGAAAAACCAATGTAATATCCTTCAAGCTCATCATAAAATCAATCAACTATAGTGCATTCGAGAGTAGACGCTTTACTCTATCTAACGAGCTGTAAATCACGAAATTGATAAATTTGACAAAAAATGACTTTGTCTGAAGGGAAGGCCTCTTTAAGTAACCTTGGAAGATTTTTCATAAGAGCTGTGTTTCATCAGGTGTTTAAACGAGCCAAACACGGGTACACGAAATCACACACAACTGCTACTCCACGTATACATCTTAAATCAACATTAAGTACAATTCATTTTTATGTAACAACAGTTAAAGTATTATTAGTAGTAGTCACCTGATCAATCATATAAATACAACAATGATTTATAATTGATCTATTTGATTTATATTACAGATATTCGAATTTCGTTTTTGGATTGATTATAAATAGTTTCATTTAATTATAGAATTCTTAAAAATTACTATCGATCTATCTGTATTAAAATCTATTTCATCTACAAAAATTAAAACATCTATCTTTAAAAGAAAAGTATTTTTTGTTTTGACGCATATTTTTAAAATGAAATATGATGGGGAATAAGATTTCATTTAAAATTATGATGTAGTATCATGTTTTTTTCCTGGATAATTAATCCAATTATAAGATTTCAAAAATTTTCAAGCAAATGATAACATACTTGATACTTGGAAAAACTATGCTTTATCCATATCTAAAACAAACTATGTGATGATAACAGGAAAAAGAAAATAGAACATTATTACCTTCTTAGTATCACTTCAATGTCATTCACTATTGATATCAATTCTTAAACATAAACTCTGACGAAAATTAGTGAAGACATACTTTAGACTACTATAAAAAAATTTTTTTATTCGAGTATACATCAGATAACTGATAAATTCTCATATTTACGATTGTTATAGAATTAAAATGAAAAATAAATAAATTGAAAATTAAAATTCTATTATTCGGAAAACCCAATAATACAATATGTCGAATACACAAAAATACAACATATTAATTAAATTAAAATACATTTACGATTTTTTTTATATCGATTACTTTTTTTTAATGATAAGCGAGCTGCAAGAATAAATAAATCATGTACTCCTTCACGAGTTTTTGCTGAAGATTCCATATAGGCATCGACTTTGATCTGTGTCGCGAGTTGTTTTCCAGCTTCAGTTGTTATCGGTTTTTGACCTTTTGCTTTCATTGATGCAACAACTTGAGGATCTGTTCTCACATCTATTTTACAAGCTACCAATATTATTGGACATGAACCACAGAAATGTCGTACTTCTGGAATCCATTTTTCAGTAATACTTGTCGCAGATACTGGATTATCAACACTAAAACACATAATTATAACGTTTGTATCAGGATATGAAAGTGGACGAAGACGATCAAAATCTTCTTGACCAGCAGTATCAAATAAAGCTAAATCAACCTATAAATAAAAGTTTTATTTTCTAAAAATAGTTCATTTGAAATAATGAATGCTATTTTAAGAAAAAACAAACTTATTTCATATGAATACTTACGGTATTTCCATCGACTTCAATCTCAGCAACATATGTATCAAAAACAGTTGGTATATGATCCGTATTAAATTCATCGTCCTTAAATGCAAATAAAAGACATGTTTTACCAGACATTCCATCACCAACAACAACTAATTTTCGACTTTTTTGCATAGATGAATTTCGATTACTTGCCATCTAAAAATAAAAAATAAAAATACAACATTATTTCGCTAATCTCTTATTTTATATTATATATTCTCTTTGTATCAGAGATATTTAGAATATCATAATAATATGGTCAAATGTATGGTGTTCCTTTCAAAAATAATAGCCCTTGTCTGTAAAAAAAACACAACAGATGATAATAATGCAGAATACATCAGAAAAAAGGACGCCCTGTTATTTTGTTTCTTACTTTTCATTATTTTTTTACGTAAACACTTCTCTTACCTAAAGTGCATGTAGTCATACAGAAAGAAAATAAACGACAAAGCATAAATGGTGAGATCATGTGAGTGTGTGTGTTCTCTATTTTAGGTTAAAAGTCTTTCGATTACGATACTGTCTTGCACCTCGGCAACGAACAGTATTTATTCTTCAGCTATACTTCACTAGATGAAGTAAACATTTTTTTTCTTCAATTGAATAATTATGCTTTAATAGGGTATCAGAATACTTCATTATCAAATAACAATAATCTTTATTGCTATTTATTTGACATAGAAAAATATGACTATTTATTTAATGATCTAGTGCTGCTTCGTCGAATTCTATATATGTTTCTGTGCTTCATCCCTATGATCCTTTGAAGCCATGTCTATAATCTGTATAATTATCATATTGTAGATGAATATAACTGATCAGATACAATAACTAAACTATGTCAATGCGAAAGATAAATAACTATTCTTCATTGATAACATTCAATCCAATCGTTGAAGGATAATATATATAAGATCAGTAATTCAAAAATTCTTCAACATTATTAATAATAGATGCTATTGTTTAATACCGTTAATTTAAGAAAGTTTCTAATATAAATTAATTCTCATAATTTGAATATAGTAGTTTTTTTCTGTTCTGCACTTGATGTTTATCACTAAAAACAGATGCATAGACATGAAAAATGAAGCTTTTATAATAAAATTTAACGATTACATTGAGTGATATACGATGAATTGTCATTTGTGAATTAAACTGATTATACGGTCTAATAAATTTTCATTTTATCTTTGTTACAAACAGGTGAAACTATTTTGTAATATGATCAATAATACTATATCTATTATCTAAAAATTGATTTACCTCAAACGAATAATCTTATTATACAAGTGATGATCGAATCGTTACAATGACATTTATGTTCGAGCTATTTTTCTTCTTATATTGACTAAAAGATAAAAATATAACGTCATTCTTATATCACTGCCACCCTCGCACTATTTTATTCCTCATGCAAATACTTACAAATTAATTCCCATGAAAAACTACAAAGACAATAACGCAGCATATTTTATATATATATATTTCTATGGTAAAAAATATTTCATAGAAGCAATACATTCTCCTATTTTGTCATTGTTCTTATATTTATCTTTCAAAATAAAACGAGATTAAAATACAGTGATTCATAAAAAAAACATACAAAAAAAAGACAAAGAAAAGAAATGAGATAATACGAAACATATAAGCACAAAATCAAAATTTGATTTAATGTATATTACATACGCGACGTTTTTTATTTCCACGTTTAAGTGATAAACGGGCAGCATGTACAAATAGTTCTTGTACACCTTCACGAGTTTTAGCTGAACATTCCATATAAGCATCAGCTTTGATTTGCATAGCTATCTGTTTACCAACATCAGTTGTTACTGGTTTTTCACCATCTTGTTTTAATTTTGCAATTGTTTGAGAATCTGTTCTTAAATCTTTTTTACATGCTACTAGTATCACTGGGCATTGTCCACAAAAATGTCGTACTTCAGGCATCCATTTTTCAATGACACTTGTTGCTGATACGGGACTATCAACACTAAAACATATTAATAAAACACTTGTGTCAGGATATGAAAGTGGACGAAGACGATCGAAATCTTCTTGACCAGCTGTATCGAAAAGAGCCAAATCAATCTAATAAAAGCAAAATTTCTTTTTCAATATGATACTATTCTAAATACATACAGTTTTTCCATCGACTTGAATATCAGCAACATATGTATCAAAAATAGTGGCATCATGAGTTGGAATAAATCGATCATCTTTAAATGCAAATAAAAGGCATGTTTTACCACACATACCATCTCCAACAATAACTAATTTTCGACTTTTTCGTACACTTCCATTCTTATTACTTGCCATCTAGAATTGAATTAAGGAACATTTCTTATCGAAAAACTATCTAGATGTATTATATTCAAGTAAATGTAAAAAAAGTAAAATAAGTAAATCATACGTTTGCTCTTTGTTTTGTTATGGTTTGTATATTTATTTAATGTCATGGATGGCATCGTCGACAAACAAGTATATTGTATTCAAATCGAAAGAACGAAAAGATGAAAAATCGAAGAAATATAATTGAATGTAAGACGTTGAAGCAGCATCATTTGTTTTCAGTATCAGAATCATAAAAAGAAACGAAAAAGAAAACAGAAAGAGCGAACAGCATGATTCGCCTCGCACTTTTTTTTTCTTTTTCTTTTTCTCTTCGTTAATGCAGTTTGTTGTTTTGACTACAATTGTTCGAATGAAAACGACAGTTGTGATTCCGCTGGAAATCTTACATTGTAGTATATACTAAACAAAAAAATTCAATGTACACAATCGAATTCCTTCTCTCTTTCAATAATAATTTCTAGGTTCTGATTTTTTTTTATTTTATCAGTGAACAAAGCGACCACTATTTTTTTTTGTCTGTTCGTTTCCTTTTAGGTATCGATGGGCGTGTATGTAAATTAGTAAAGAGGACAAAACTATGGTAACAACATGTATTTAGAAGAATGTGGATCAATATTTTTTTTTCTTTTTTTTTTGTTATATTTGACAGATGTTGGTTTATTTAAGAAAAAAACTTCAAATTGAATAAAATAACTTGTAGTTTGGCAAGAATAAATAAACTGACTCTTCTTTTTTAATTAATCGAAATAAATACATATATCCGATTTATTAATATGAGTTTACCCACAATTGTCGAATCATCAAGTAATATTGAAAGACATCTAAGTTCAAATGTGACAATTGAAAGACCCACTAGTGAATCTTCCAGTTCAAATATCAATCATGTTAATATTAGATTTACTATTGCTTTGGCTGTACCTGTCGGTGAGTTTTTATAAAAAGAATACATACATATATATCATAAATCTTCTGATTTATTTTCTATCCAATGATAAATTATATTTTCTTTAACACTAATTTATGATATTAGTTCTCTATTAGCTTTCTGCCTCGTCGTCCCTCAAGATGATCAAGGTTTTACATGTGTGCTTGTTTGAGATTTCACATTGCAATGTGTGTTCCATCTAATTACACATTGATGTTCACGTTTTTGTTTTTCTTGTTTTTGTTAATTGAATATCTGTAATTGATATTTAGAATCACAATTATCAACTGAGTCTCCTGCACCACAGAGTAATACTTATAGTAATGAACGAGTGTCTGAAACATCAAAAATTCAAGTAAATAAATTTTCTTAAAAATAAATTTCGACTATTCTAAGTTTTATAATTAGGGATATTATCGTATTGAATATTCATTAATACCTGGTGAAGCAAATGTTGGTTTTGATATAATTGTATTTCGAACAGCTGCAAAAATCTATCCAGATAATCATGATAGTCAAGTTGTATCAATATGGGAAGATGAAAATGAAAATGTTTGGATAGTTTGGAACCATGTGTAAATCTGATTTTATTTTGTTTTTGTAAATCTAAATGAATTCTTCTTATTTCAAATAGTCATAAACTTGATTTAAATCGTGAGCGTTTATTAGCATTATTATCACATAAAATTTTTGTTAAAATATGGGATGGTAAAGAATATTGTACAATACGTACGAAACTTGATAAACCTCGTATTGGACGTGTTTTTCATACTTTAACCTCAAGTAATATAAACAAAAAAACAAAGAATCTAAAGAAATCATTTCAATTTGATTTCTTTTTATTGTAAAATATAGATACTGATGAAGAAAATTCACCGAAGAACATAGTACAAAGTATAGCACAGAACTATGCAGATAAATGGATAGCAAAGCCCCTGTTATATAAATTACGTCGAAAATTACCAATCAGTATCCCGCCTCCATCACCATTTTTGCAGAAAAAAAGTTTGTTTATTTAATGGTGATTTGACTTTTTCGGTTTCTATTATTAAATTATAGTTGATCAAACAGAAAATGCTCGCATATCAACACCATTATTGTCGAATGTGTTACAAGAAAAATCCATTGAAAATTTATGGTAAGTTGTATTTTTCATTAATTCGTATTTTGTTTTCTCCTGTCGAATCATCAAGAACATATTTCAGGATTTTTTTTCTCTATTAGTGGTATGTACGTTTTATAATCGTCCTGTAGTCTCTCCTGTAGATTGTAAATTCCATGGGAATATATCGTTTGTAGATTTATCTATTTGTTTTTTTTTATTTTGTAAATATTTATTGATTTCCACTAAAAACTTATTTTGACTTATATATATTTTTTCTTTATTTGTTCGTATATTTAAGTGGAGAAAATAATGCATTAATTGGTGAATCAACACCGAATCCAACTGAAAATCGATATTCCAGTCTTTTGAAAAAAACTCCTGATGAAAACGAAACAAAACCAGAAGAGAATATAAAACGAAAAAAAGGTTTATTTTTTTGTTTTTATCTTTAATCATATATTTGAATTAATTTTAATAGGAACAAAAATACATAGACAGTATGATGAAAAAAAAGAGAAAGGTGCTGCTCAAATAAATATACCAAGCAATTTAATCTTTGCAGGTATGGAAGACATTTAAAGTTATTTAAAAATGCAAATTTGATGAAATCCTATTTCACAATAATTCTCAAGGTTTCAGATATAAGTTTCTGGTATTTATTTTACGATAGTAATATTTTGAAAAGATATAGGTTTATTTTCCGATGATTCATTTGTACATTATTTTCTAATAAGTAATACTGATAATGCTATTATCACTTTTACTTGATAGCAAAAGGAAAGTTAATATGAAATGCAGGTATGCAATAGTTGGAATCATGAGGGAATCTTCTCAACTGTTCGATCGTTTTTCACTTGAGACTATTGCTATTTGATCAGTCACGAAGGCTAGTAAAAAAAAACTCTGGTTTGGGTTTAGTTTTTCAATATTCGCTGCTTGAATGATGGGTGCTTTTGTCAGTTTTTGCTCTCTGAGAATAGAGTCACTAAGAATATCAATAACAAAATTTCGAACTGAAATTTTGTCCGTAAATAAGCTTCCTAGTCATTAGAAACATTCCACAATTTAAGTCAGAGTGAACGCATCCCTACTAAGATATTCACATTTTAAAGAAACACCTGTTTTCATCTGTGTTTCAAAAGAAAGACGTTTCCACGACAAACTAATATCTCGGTACGGGCACGTTTGTTCTAGTTCAAACTTGAAAGTGTTTCTACCGACTATAAAGCGGATATATGGACGAAATTCTAGCTCAAAATTTGATTATTCAGGTTTGTAGTAACTCTATGGTTATAGCGCAAAAGTTGAGTAAGATGCCTCGAATTCAACAAGTGAAGACCGGAAAATCAAATCAACACAGACACTTGTACTACTCATTATGACCAATAGAATGGTAATAGTCTCAAACAACAAGCGATTAGACAGTTGGGAACATTGCCTCATAAATATCAGTCCCTCTGGTTACTAGTTTAGCAGTAAGAGACTGCTTAATCAGTGCTTGCCTAACATAAATGGTAATTAGTTGTCATAGAACAAGCATCAATAGAGATTAGTACAAGAACACTGATTATGTACCTAGTCGACCAGTCAGAACTAGAGCTGGTATGTATACCTAATGAAAAGAATTTGTCAATATAAACAAAGTTGAAAACGGTATATTAATCATCTTCCACTCTATAAATATTCGATATAATCCTATTCTTCAGTGCCAACTGATTAATGAATGATATAATTCGAATAGATATTAAAGATTCTTCATGCTAAATAAAACCATAACCTTGCAATCATTATATTATATTGTCATGATATGTATAATGTGATAACCTTTGAATTCTATCTAACTGATATACAGGATCAAAGCTCATAAACAAAAATCATCAGACTATTTTTAATGATTCATTTTCTTTTTAAATCGATATATATTCTAGTCTAAAAGGCAACAAAAAACAATTTTATCATATTCAAGCCGATATAACCCATCAGTGGATCATATCGCTTTGAATGTGTTATTTTTCTGTTGAATGAAATTTTCATTTTTAGGAGCTAAAATAATCACATGTCGTGTTGATGATGATGTATTATTACCAAGAAGCATTCACGATTGTTTTGCTAGTATCAAAATTGAAGATTATCAATTAATGAATGAAACGCTGGCAAATGAATTTAATCCACTTTCAATAACCATATGTCATGTTGAAAATATGCCATCAACACCAATATCATATTCTGAGTTAAAACAAAGGTTCAATATCTTTTTTTTTCTTTTCTATAAGATGAATTTTCATTGATATATTTTGTAAATAGATGTGAACCAGTTTATTGTTCTTATCAATTATTTGATCAATCAGTTCATCAAACAAGTAAAAAATTGCAAGCACATAGTATTTATTGGAATGAGTTGAATTTACATTTAACAAGTAAAAATAAGTTTTTATTAGTAAGAAAAAATTTTTGTTTTTGTTTATTTCGTAGATTTAATCAATGAAAATATAATGAGTGAATTTCGTAATTCTCCTATTCTTAATATTGAAATTCATGATCGAGATGAGCGTGAAAATAGTCGACGATGTGTTGGTAGTGTATTTGGTTCAGAAAATACTGATGAAATAATTGGAAGAGTTTCCGGTAATTTATCCATAAAAACTTTTTATTTTTATCTTTTATATGTTTTATTAAATAGGTAAAATGAATTTACTTAAATCAAAAAAAGACTTTGAATGGCATCCACATGGATGTGTTAAATTAGATTTGTCAGAACTTTGGCTAGGACAAACATCGCTTGAATTTTATATTCCAGTTGTTCCCTGTCATGCAGCTGAATTTAATTCAGGTAGAATTTTATTGTATAATTTTTTTCAATGACATATATTTAAATAAAAACTATATATATTTTAGGGCGTATAACAAGTGCAAAACGTGCATTATCAAATGAAA